TTTTAATCAATTAAATGTTTACAATTAGTCCATCCATTTCAATCTGAAGAACTTATATTCAGAACGAGGTGACCCATAAAATACTTAGCGAGACAGCTAAATGCTATTTACAAGATTCATTAAAAATCCATACAACGAGAAGAACACTAAAAAGCACACAAAAAACTCAAAAAAGAAGAGATATTTCCAGTAAACAACATCATTTCAAGGAACCAAATTCTTCCAGACGTTTAATGCACTACCCAGTTCAGAATAGTATTATACAGTAATAGTTATTCAATAAAGCAAGAATAACTAAGAAAATTTTGTCCTACGGCTGGTTACCTCGTAGGGAAACTTTGTGCAGACGATGAAATGAAGAAACGTGAGGTTTGGGGGAATGGTTAAAGACACGAGGAGGGGTGGCGCAGCAGAAATCGCTTATTTTACGAAGTAATAAAATGGTGGAAAAAGCTGAAGCAGAAGAAGTCATCTCTTTCTCTTTCTTCTTCCCATTCTGTCGAGAAGTTGGATTGAGCAGTCATCAATTTTTTTCTGTCTCACATTCCCCCAGCAAGGATCAGTGGATAAGGGGTGGACATCTCGTGGTTGTGGTTCATTTTATTTTGTAACTAATTTTCACTTTGGCATTAAAAATAAGTAAAAAAATTTACTTTCAAGTGAAAAGTAACATGTTCCAACATTAAAAACAAACAAAATAAAAAAAAAAAAAACCAAAAAGGAAAAAGGAAAAAAAAAACCTTAAAAATATCGTATAAGTTTAGTAAAAAGTTGTGGATCCATGGATAAAGTAGTGAATCTTACGAAACGTATGATTAAAAATGAAGTTTAATAATAATAATAATAATAATAAAGTTTTATCAAGCATGTTCTTGGCCCCTAATAGAGCCTCATTTTAGTAAAAAAAAAAATACATTTTGGAATAATGATTTTTTGAAAAATGTGTAGTTAAAAAATAAAGAAAATTTTTCGATTTACACGTAAAATATTTTATGGAAGAACATGAAGTTGAAAATGAGTTTTGAAAAAATTGGAACTAAACATAGGCTTAGGATATGGCCTAGCGGTGGCAAAAAAAATGAGAAATTATTGAAAATACCCAAAACAAACCAATAGCCTTTCCAAAATACCCCATTTCACTATTCAACCATATAAACTACCTAAAATACCCTTAAAAACAATAATTGCAACTAAAGCTTTCAAGATAAGAAAAGAATACAACCAAGTCCTATATTTTAAAATGACTAATAAAAATTATAAAAAACCTAGAAC